CAGGACTGGCCTAAGGGGTATTTTAAATTTGGTTTTTAAATAATTTTAAAATAAAAGAAAGGCCTATATTAATATTTTATTTTAACCACATTTTAAATTTGTATATTGTATTGTTATTCTGTTTTAAACTGGCTGTAAGCCGCCCTGAGTCCACTAGGAGAAGGGCGGGGTATAAATGCGATTAATAAATAAATAAAAAAATAAATTTCTATCACGCATTCCTTCCCCACAAGGCTGCAGTGGCTGAGCTGTTACACTGGCTCTTGGATAAACAGGCTCCATGGCAGTGGACTAAGGTCCATGAAAGGAGTTTCAATGAGGTTAAAGCCTTGCTCTCTTCAAATGCGGTCTTAGCGCATTTCAATGAGCAATTACCAGTGTGCATCGCATGTGATGCATCCCCTTATGGAGTGGGAGCAGTACTCAGTCACCTGAAGGCTGATGAGACACAAGTCCCTGTGGCCTATGACTCTGTCGTCTGCAGAGCATAATTATGCTCAGATTGACAGAGAAGCCTTGGCCATAGTGGCTAGCATAAAGAAATTTCATGATTTCTTATATGGCCGCCACTTCACGGTCTATACAGACCATAAGCCTCTGTTGGGGTTGTTTACTATAAACAAGCAAACACCTCACATAATATCTCCCAGAATGCTGAGATGGTCAATTTTCCAATCAGCATATGACTACACACTGATTCACAAACCTGGAAAAGAAAAGGGCCATGCAGATGGCCTCAGCAGATTACCTCTAAAACAGATAGAGGCAGATCCTGCTCCTGGTATTAACATTCTCTCCATTCAGAAGCTACCTGAATCTCCCCTCAATGCTAGGGATGTGGCTGCAGAAACTGCCACTGATCACATGCTTACACACGTGCTGACATGGGTGTTGTCAGGATGGCCTGACACGTGTCCAGATACTGAGTTTCAGAGCTTCTGGCAGAGGAAGCACGAGCTTTCCACATTCAAAGGGTGCCTGTTATCGGGTAGTAGGGTAGTCATCTCAGCCTTATTGAGGTCTAGAATCTTGATCTCTCTGCATGAGGGACATCCGGGTATAGTCCGGATGAAAGCGCCCGGGACCAGACTGGCTGTCTCCAGCCTTGCATGCATGCGCAAGGCGGGAAACAGCCTCTGCAATCATTGGTTAACGTTGTCCGGGGCTAGGACACTATAAAAAGGCCTGCATGCCGTTTTTGTTGTTGTTGGTTGTGGAAGTGAATAATAAAGAAAGCTTGATGTTACACGATGCGTCTCCTCTTAATGCCTCCAACCCGTGAACTTAACAGTGGGAATAACAAGTGTGTGAAAAACTAAGAGTTCTGTTTTCCTTTTCTTTCCTTTTTCCTGGTCTTTGTGTGTATGTCTGTGTCAAAGTCTTTGTGTATTATATAAATGTGACTGTTAAATGTCTCTAATCCCTAGAGAAAAGAATTTAAATTTTGCTAGAAAAAAAATGTGTTAAAATAAGCAAAGCAAAGAAAAATACCTTCACCCTGTTTGCCTGGCCAGCAAAACAGGGTGAAGAGAATTTTGTTCCCTTTTCCTTCTCTTGTCAGGAGGGAATCTTCTAAGCTCATTTAGAGGAAAAGTTTTATTTGTGCATTTTCTGTATGTGTTATAAATGTCTATCTGTCTATCCTTCTCCTGAAACATGAGGTGTGTCCACCCACAGGAGCCTCATGAGCTCGAGTTTGTTTGTGTAGGGAAATAATCTTCTTCTAATTAAGTTACTTTTCTTATCCTATCACTAATCAGTGAAACTACTATGGAACTAATCCTGGAACACATAAGCATTTATTTTCAATCTTTAATGGGGTCTTTTTATCTAAATTGTGCATTGGTGATGCTGGGCAAAATTCTGTCATGATGTTTCTGTCTGGGCAAAATTCTGGGCAAAATTCTGTCATGATGTTAAAACAGACATAAAAGGTAGACTTTCCTGCCCCTGACAAATTGTACACCTTAAAATATTAGGCTTTTAAAATTATTTGGAGTTTTCAGCATTTTCAAGTTGCCCAGCTTCTTTTTTCTCCTCTTCTGTGGTGTCCCCATTTTGTCTGTCTGTTTCTTTAACAACTGGAGTATCAATGTCTTTTCAAACTCTGCCTGAAAGCTATCCCCCCATTTCGCTTCTCCATTTTTTTATGCTATGTCCTCCATTCCTCATGTCTGACCAGCAAAGCCTCTCTGGGGAGAGTCACCCACAAAGGGGAGAGGGGACCTTGTTCTCATATCTTTCAGCCCTGCATAGATGACTCAGCAACCTTTGGAAGCAGAGCACACTGACCAGATGCTGCCTCCATTCATTTGAGCTATGGAATTGGGTTTGAATCCAGACATCCATTAGAAAGTCACCATGCAACCAGAGTGGAACATATCTTCCCAGACCCTACCATCACCTAGATGCCCGTGAATGCTGCAGAGAAAGGAAGGACTCCCGGATCCATTGGCTCCCACATGAAGCCTCAGAAGACAACTAGGAATACTATGGGGGAAGGGCAGAAACTCATTGTAAGATTTTCTTTCTTGCCTCATATGTAATGTAATCAGCCAGTTAAATGGATTCATGGAGGGATGACATTTGGGAATGGATGGCACAGCAAGTAATGAACAGCTTAGATTTCTGTCTGGTGGGAGGGAAAATTTGTCCAGGATGTTTGTATTACCTGTCTAGTAGAAGTAGCTATATGCACACATACACCATTCAGAATCACAATGAAGCAATCATCTTCACCTACCTTCAGTAAAGTTCCCCAGGCTGGTTCTTGCTCTGTGGCATTAAGGCCTTTGCCTTTCTGCAAATTTCATGTGGGAGAGAACCGTGCCCCCTCAGGCAATTTACAATTCATATGCCCTCATTGAGGAAGTAGCAGGAAAGAGATCTCCAAAGTCAAGCCCTAAATATGTTGCACTGGTGTACTCAGAGTGGGAGTCCTAGGGCTCACTGTGTGTAATTTAAGAAATATTAATAGCCTGATTTGCACACTGGCTAACCTCAATTGGACATCACAAACCTGGATGCACTAAATTAAGAGCTAAGGCAGGAAGCAACCCTTGAAAATGGAAGCCAGTAATTATGTACTAAGACAAAAACATGGCTGTGAGGAATTTTGGGAGGCATGTGCAAAGCTGACTGGAAGCTCAAAGTGACATCCAATATCTAAAAATCATTGGTATAGAATATTGGACACTATAAATTTATTTTCCACCTAACAGAACTTTTGCCCTGGCTTTAGACCTTCATGATTGAAAGGCTCTCCTTTTGGGAGCCAATGCAGGGATCTTTTTCTGCTGCCTCTATTAGTGTCTTCCCCTTTCTGCATTAACAGTTTAAAAGCTTGTTTCCCCACATCCTGGAGCACCCATAGAAGCACCCATCAAGTCTCCCTGACCAGATCAAATTTTAATCTTGTGCCAGTAAAAGTGTGTCACTCATAGCTAAATGGCACAAAGAAGACAGCACTCCCCCCCCCAGAAAAAGAAATATTTTGGGGAATGTTAAAAAGGCAGAATATTATATTTCCCCAAAGGAATAATGGAGAAGATCTTAAAAAGCAGACCCCCCCCAAGTCTCTCTTCCCCAAGCAGAAATCAGGTCTGTAGAAATTCAGATTTGATAATCCTTTCAGAAAGACTAAAGCCAGGAAATTTAGAGATGATGGGATTAGAAAGACAAAGATTCCTAGAACCAACAACCCCTCACCCAAAAAATCCAATACAGGACATAGCCATCATCTACAGCCCAGGAAAGCAGGACATGACCTTTAGGACATAATAGGATTAACCCACCACCATCAGAATACTAAAAGGACACACTGAACCTCAGGTCAAAGTTCATGCTACAGGAACAATTCCAAACACAAAAGCTCAAGAAGATATAAAAACCTACCACTCCCAGCAACATGTGGTCAGCTGCTCCAGAGCCACATGCTGTTGTGGTTCTGCTCTTCAATAAACTACAACCTTCTTTCTAAAGCAGTCTTCATTTTGTTTATTCCCGGCTTGGACTGGACCCTGATGAAGATTTTTCTTTCAACAGTCCTTTATAGATGCAGAATTCCATTTGATACAGCATTTAATTCCCATTGCAGAGTGCTGGCTAAATATTATCAGCATATATTGATCATGATATTTGCTGTGAAGAACATCAATGAAGACATCCAGCTCTTACCAAATATCACCTTGGGCTTCAGAATCTTTGAGAGTTATGGTGGTGACTACATATATCATGTCTTAATGGAACTTTCTTCCAGTTAGAAACAACTAATTCCTAACTACAGGTGTGACATCCTGAACAAACTTATATCGGTTGTTGTGACTATTGATCCAGCTATTGCTAGTGATATGGCAGATATTTTAGAGACTTACAAAGTTCCAGTGGTAAGATGGATGGTTTTGTCTTTCCAGTTGTATGTTATTGCAAGACCTCAAAATATAATTAACTTTCATCTATAATTCTCCAATGACCATATTTAAGGAAATGCATTTAATATGTCATAAAATAAAACATCAGTTTCAGAATTTGATGTTACTATTTATAAGTTAATGATTATTAAATGTTATCTATTAGTCAAGAATGTTGAATCCCTGTAGTTACTAATGTGATGGGGAAAAAACTATATAATGTTTCTGCTTTTTTATTTATATTTTATTTCATTATTATATTTATATTTTGCCTTTCATTTAGGTGCTCAAGGAGTCAAAGATAGGGCTTTCTTCTAATACAGATAGTCCTCAATTAGAAATCACAGTTGGGATTGGAAGCGCCATCATTAAGCAGTGTGATCTTTAATTGAAACAACATGTGACGAGAGACTCATACCCTCACCTGTATATTAATCTACATCTATCAGCTGAAGAAGGTTTAGTTATGAAAGTGGGTCATAATTAACCACTGAACAATCATGATTGAGGATTTTCACTAAGATCTTTTCATTTTTCATCCAGAACTTTGGATGAAGCTGGGATTTGCAGTTGGGATCATCATAATTGAAATTATAAGAAGAAGGTTGTTGTGAGATATGAACAAGGAAGGAATCCATACTTTAAAAGTACTCAGATAATAAATCTCAATGAACAATATATTTCAATAAAAGAAAAAGCTATTCTCAAATTTAAACAATGATAATCTACCCAATCATAATCTCATAACTAACTTGTGCCCAGAAATTATGTGATGACATGATGTTCATGATGACATATTTCAAAATATTAATTTAGAAATGACACATATTTCCTTATCTTTATTTTTTTCCTATTTACCTATCTAATGTTTTCCATAATTCCCTACTGATGCCTTTTCAAATGAAAGCCCATTCTACTATTGCATGCTTCCTGATGAAGAACTTTATTACAGTGGGATTATTTGACTACTCTTACACTTTAGATGGACTTGGGTTGGGGTACCTGTTTATGGACTTGGTGGAAGAACATTTCAGCACCTAATCTTCTCAATACTTTCACTTCAAGGTATCTGCATTGATTTCTTAGAACAATTGAGAGCAAATCATATCCACACATTTTTTGATAGTTTGAAATCACTTGAAATCATTTTTCACCATCTTGTTAAAAGCAAAGCCAATGTTGTCATAATCAATAATAACCATCTTTTAAATTTTAGATGGTTGTTACGCCTACCTGAAATAGAAATACTTTCTATAAAGCCAAAAGGTAAGGTGTGGATCTTGGCTTCCCAAATTCTTTTACCAGAAGAGCTGGGATATTCAATTCCTTCATGGTGTTCTGAGTTTTACAGCCTACTCAAATGAAGTTGAAAGAGTCTAGCATTTTCTTCAGACAAGAAACCATTTCTCCTCAAAAGAGGACAATTTTGTCAAAAATGTGTGGGAGCAAGCATTTGGCTGTGTATTTCCAAATCTGTCTGTGAATGAAGAAATAGAGGATGTCTGTACATGGAAGGAGAACTTGGAGAGCCTTCCTGGGACCTTTTTTGAAAAGAGGATGACCAGTCATAGTTACAATATATATAATGCAGTGTATGCAGTGGCACATGCTTTACATGCCATGAAGTTGAACCAAAAACACAGGGGAAATTTGAGCAGCAGAAAACTCAGTCTTCAGGATCTTCAGCCATGGAGGGTAATTCTATCAATGATCAAGTATATTGGAAATGGGATTTGAATTGCACTGAATCTTCAGCATCTCACAGCCTTCTGATCCCAAAGAGTAGTAAGATGTATATGGGAAGTTAGTAAAGGAAGTTCTTGATTTACAAATACAGTATTTGTTACTTTTCAATCTCTTGGTCTAATGTCCAGAGCAATCATTTCCTCGGGCCACATCTGTAGTATCTTCCAGAATCCTTCTATGTATTCTCAATCTGATTTAGATTGCTCTCAATTTATTTTGCCTCTCTTCAATTCCTGACCTAATTATTCTACACATCCTTATATGATTTAGTAACCTGAGTATAAATATCACTCATTTGAGAAGAAATCTTCAGTGACAAGTCTTTACTTTCCTTTTCCCATCATAGCATGCCTTAGAAGCAATGAAAATTGACCCTTTCATTTTTATTGATTTCTTTATTTATTGAGTCCAAATGCATCAATGGCAGACTTTTTAGTATTATAGAAAGATAATGTTGACAAGTTAGTTCAAGCCTTGCCTATTCCTTTGTGTAGCTGATTAATCTGAAAGTTACTTTAGATATTAAAGCGATCTGTTCTTCTCTGATCAGTTTGTCTCTAATAACAAGAGACAATTTTGTTAAGGTTACAGCAAAAATAATGGAAGCTTGATTATGTTGTTTATTGAACAACACATTTTCCCTAATAAGTTATATTTTTGCATATTAAAATATCTATGGCTTTCTTGGACTGCATTATTTTTAATGATTGAAATTTAGTAGACCATAAGAGTGATTTTGCATCAAGAATCACAGATACTTATGATTGAGAGAAAGTCTATCACTTTAGAAAAGGAACAGTCCTCCAGATGTGTATCATGTTTCAAGTAAAAAGATGGATATCCTTTTTTAATTTATTCTTTAATTTATTTTCAAATCTTGCCAATTATTGTCTTAAAGGAAGAATTTGAATTAATTTAGCATTTAGGTTTAAACAGCTTAGACTGAATATTAAATGTGAAATTTTAGTTACGTACATGCTCTGTCAAAGCCTTACAAAGTTATGGTTATACCGTTGCTGTGTTTTGTAAAGGTGTATGAGAAAGATGCTTCCCCTTTTCTCTCTCTTTTTAAAATATGTTTTATTGATTTTAAACATAATCACCTTAATATTTGGTAAACAGCATGTTGTCTGGGTTTATATTTAAAAAACAATTAATAACAATTAATTTCTATAATTCTATAGTCCATATAATGGCTTTTCTTGAATTTCTCTTCTTCCAATAATATTTCTTTTGCCAACCTTAAATTAATACAGTTCTTATTATTTGAATAAATGACAATTAATATAGACATTTTTCTCATGTTTCTACAAATAATAACCACATCAATATAAAGCTTCTTTTCTAATTGATCATCTTGATTGCCTCACCATAGATCCTGTTTACAAAATTCTTATTTAAATTTGTTTTCCCCACAATATTCAAAACATTCTTAATGGTTAAGATCTTCTCAAAATTAATTACACTTAAGTATTTAAGTCTTTTTTCTCATACAAGCCATGCCATCACTTTTACATTTCTCATACTTTAAATAAAGAAAAAAAAGCAGAGAAAATATTTCTTTTATATAAACCATCCCAACATGTTTATATTTTTCATGTCAAAAAACAAAACACAAAGAGAAAAATTACTGCCTTAGGAATGAAGCCAACTGGGTGACTTTGGGCCAGTCACTTTCACTCAGCCTAGGAAGAAGACCATGTCAAAATATTTCCAAAAATATTTGCAAGGGACTAATCTAGGCAGTTGTTGATCTTGACAGACTTGAACACTGGGCCTTATCTAACAAAGTGAAATACAGTGATGAAAAAAGTAAGGTTCTACATTTAGGAAGAAAAACCATATGTACAGACACAGAATAGGTAGTACTTAGCTCAATAGTAGTAACTATGGGAGTATCTTGGAGACCTAGTGGGCAATCACATAAATAGGAGCCAGCAGTGTGCTGCAGCTGCCAAAAAAGCCTATTGAGTCCTAGTCTGCATTAACAGAAGGATAGAATCAAGATCATGCGAAGTGTTAGCACCACTTTATCATGCCTTGATAAGACCACACTTGGAATATTGCATCCAATTTTGGTTGCCATGATATAAAAAAAATGTTGAGACTCTAGAAAGAGTGCAGAGAAGAGCAACAGAGATGATTAGGGGACTGGAGGCTAAAATATATGAAGAAAGGTTGCAGGTATTGAGTATATCTAGTTTAATGAAAAGGTCTAGGGGTAACATGATAGCAGTGTTTCAATATCTAATGGGTCCACAAAGAAGAGGGGCTCAACATATTCTCCAAAACATATGAAGGCAGGACAAGAAGCAATGGATGGAAATTAATCAAGGAGATAACCAACCTAGAACTAAAGAGAAATTTCCTGACAGTTAGAACAATTAACCACTGGAACAACTTGCCTCCAGAAATTGTGAATGCTCCAACACTAGAAGTTTTTAAGAAGAGGCTGGACATCCATTTGTTTGAAATGGTATAGGATTTCCTACTTGAGCAGGGGGTTGGACTAGAAGACCTGCTTTCCAACACTATGATTCTATGAAACTGCAAGGGGAAAAATGTAATAAGGAACTATGTTTATGTTCACTGAAACATGTTGGGTTTTTTTGTGGGGGTAGGACACAATACTTTTGCCCTTAATTTAGAGTCATCAGGAATGTCTCCATCTTTGCCATGTTTAACTTCCTCTCATCTCAAAAACTTTTTCTTCATTCTGTGATTATTGTGATTCATCCCACTCTTGCTATTTAATTAAAAGAATGAAACTTTAAACTTTGCAATTTCCTCTTTCCCTTATAATTATCAAAAAGACTATTATTAACTTTGCTGTGCCTCAACACCTTGGCGAACAAATTATTATATTTGGAAGAATGATGACTAAATGCTGATGGCAATTATTTTAGAATTTAGGGACAGGTAAAATAATCAGAAATAATAACCAGATTTGTAAGATTCAGTACAGAATGAAATTCATGTGAGAAACAGAGAGAGATTCAGTTCAAGCTTGAACAATTTTGTAGACTCTAAAACATTACATAGAAATTAGAGAAGCTTTGTTAAACTGGGATTAATATTTATTATGATGATATTGATTCTTCTTCTACAGCTATTGCCATATATGACTTGCAAGGCTCCATCAATAAAATGCAGCATCCAAGATCCTATCCCGATTGATCACAAATATTTCCAATCAGGTGACCTAATTGTTGGTGCCATCACCTCTTTTGTCTTCACAACTAGAAATGCAGAAAGCTTTGAGGAAGATCCTCATCATACTCTTCTAAGTGAATCTCTGTAAGACATAATTTTATTTCAATAACCTATATTAATGAAGATAAAATTATTTAGTGTCATATGTGTCATAATGAACTACTGTGATTAAAAATAATCTTTCTAACATTGAATGATTGAAGTAAACCAACAGCTAGAACCTATGTTCCTTAAATAACATTAGAAGAAAATTAAACTAATCATTGCATCTTGAGATAAGAATTATAGCATCAGTCTCTAAAACAGACTATACAGATAATACAGACTATACAGATTGAACCATAGAAATTATATCTCTTCAGTCAGAGATATACCATATTTTATCTCAGTAAATGAGACATGCAGTTTTCTTGCAGGGATAATATTCTTCTGAACTGATTTTTTTTCAGATGATTAAAAGGAAACACCTCATGTATTAGAAAAAATAATTAATGAAACTTTATTTTCCAGTTATACAATGCTAATGTCCATGTTACATGCCTGACAATGATTCTGGAAGGCTTCATATAATTAGAATTCATTACAAATAACAAAGAGATTTAAAAAAACAACCTGTGATTATTTCTCTCAAATATATTTCTGCCATTTTTATAGTGAGTAAGAATATATCAATCAATTAGTGTGAAATGGTGACTATTACTTTCTAAAATCATTTTTAACGGAGCTAAATCTATTAATCAAATAATATGAAAGAGTCATTATTGGTTTCTAAAACTTTTTTCCAAGGAAGTATAGCCATATTGCATCTTTGAGTCCATTTGATACAGTATCTAATTCTCTTTGCAGAGTCCTGACTAAGTATTATCAGCATATTTTGACTATGATATTTGCTGTGAAGAAGATCAATGAAGAGCACCAACTTTTAGCTAATATCACCCTGGGTTTCAGGATCTGTGATAGGTATGCTGGCTATCAGGCCAAAATGGAATTTTTCTCCAGTCAGAACAGATTCATTCCCAATTACAAGTGTGGCAACTTGAACAAACTTATATCGGTTGTTGGGACTATTGATCCAGGAGTCTCTTTGGTAGATTTTTTAGATACTTACAAAGTCCCACAGGTAAGATGGATTGGATTTTTCTTTTCAGATTGTAGTGGAAGGCAAGACAATAAGATATAATTAACTTTCTGCATAGAGCTTGTTTAAGAAAAGATATTTATAAAATATCATAAAATAAAGTATCTTTGAGTTTCAATGATTAGCCGTGAATGATCATTAAAAATTACATGTAAGTTGCTGATGTTGTGAGAAAAAAAACTATACAATGTTTGTGAATTTTATTTAAATATTATGATGTCATTGGATTGGTATCTTGCTTTCATTCACTGCTCAAGGAGGCATAGGTGGTGCTTTCTTCTCCTAGTGGTAGTTGTCACTCATCAACTGCAATTGGGATTTTTTTATTTATGTATCTAATTTTCATTTCTAGTTCTCAACTGGCTCTTCTCCAAATGAAAGCCCTTTCTATTATCACATGGTTCCAGGTGAAAGACTTCATTATATGGGAATTATTCAACTACTTTTGCACTTCAGTTGGACTTGGGTTGGGATACTTGTTTATGGACTTGGTGGAAGAACATTTCAGCACCTAATCTTTTCATTGTTTGCTGTCCATAAAATCTGTGTTGCCTTCTTGGAGCAGTTCAGACCAGTGTATTTCACCAATGCTGTAGAGGGTATGGAACTGCTTGTTGAAACTTTTCGCCTTCTTGTTAATAGCAAAGCCCAAACTGTCATAATCAATGATAATAATCTTTCAAATTTAAGGTGGTTATTATATCTACCTGAAATGGAAACAGTTTCTATAAAGCTGAAAGGTAAGGTGTGGATCATGGCTTTCCAAATGGGTCTTGCATCATTCTTTTATCAGAAGAACTGGGATATCCAAGTCCTCCATGGTGCTCTCAGCTTTGCACCTTACTCAAATGAAGTTGCAGGATTCCAACATTTTCTTCAGACAAGAAACCATTTTTCCTTCAAAGATGATGGTTTCCTTAAAGAAGTGTGGGAGCAAGCATTTGGCTGTGTGTTTCCAAATCCATCTGTGAATGAGGAAACAGAGGATATCTGTACAGGGAGGGAGAAACTGGAGAACCTTCCTGGGGCCTTTTTTGAAATGAGGATGACCAGTCATAGTTACAGTATATACAATGCAGTGTGTTCTGTTGTACATGCTTTACATGCCATAAACTTTGGCCAACAACATAGGCAAAAGTTGAAGGGCAAAAGGTTTGGTGTTCAGGATCTTCAGCCATGGCAGGTAATTTTATGAATAATCAAATAATCAAAAATTTCACTGACTGTCCAGCATCTCTCAAATTTATGACCACAAAGAACTGTGATGTGTAGATGGAAAGTTAGAAAAATCTTCTAGGTTTCTTCTTTATCTCTTTCTCGCCTTTTGTGGAATTGGTAATCTTAGTGTATTTTCTTTGAACATCCCAGCTCACTTACTCTCTAACTCTTCCTTGTAGGCTGTAGCTGTTGGGATATATGCCTTGTCTATTCTCTCCCTCCCCTCCCCCCATAGATAGGTATTATTTATTGTAACAAGTGTATCCATGATAGAGAAAGTAGAGAAACTAACCAGTTTCCATCCAAATTGTATTTCTCCTCTTAACACAGAAAATGGAATGAAACCCATAAAATGTAATGAAAAGCACACTGTTGTGGATTGTGCAGAGAAGCAAAAAATATGTAGTCGTCAGAATTTTTAAAGAATGCTGTAAAGACAGATTGTACATAATATCTAGAAAATTTCAGAAATAATGCAATTTAGCAAAAAGAATCATAAGGCATTCATGCAAATATAAAAAAAATGTTTCTGTTTTTTAAAAAAGCGGGCGAGACATTCATTGGGAAAAAAGAAGAGAAAAGAAAGAAAAGAAATCAGATCTGGCAATTAACAAGGTGGCTGTTTAAGGGAAAAAGGGGATATCTACAGGGAGGGAGAAGGAAAGAGAAGAGAGAGAACAGATAGGTCAATTGGTAATCTATTACCAATCTCTCCATTTTTCAATCTCTTGGTCTGATGCAATCATTCCCTTATTTCTACAGCATTTTCCATTCTCTTTCTTTCTTATCCTATGGGAAAGGGATCTTTCTTCTCCTATGTGTTTTCAATCTGATTCAAACTGCTCTCAGTTTATTTTGCCTCCCTTCAATTCCTCCCCTAATTATGCTATATATCCCTGTATGATTTAATAACCTGATTATAAATATCATTCTCATTTGAGAAGAAATTTTCAGTAATAAAATCTTTATTTTCCTCTTCCCATCATAACATCTTATAGAAGCAGTGAAAATGGACTGTTTCCTTTTTGTTGCTTTTTTAAAATTTACTGTGTCCAAATGCATCAATGGCAGACTTTTTAGTATTACAGAGGGTAATGTTGACAAGTAAGTTCAAGCCTTGACTATTCTTTTGTGTAGTTGATTAATTTTAAAAGTTGGATATTAAAGTGATCTGATCTTCCCAGATTAGTTTGTCACTAATAACAACAGGAAACAAGTTTGTTAGTTATTGTAAAAATAATAGCCTGATTTTATTTATTTGGGAATTTTTTTTCAAATAAGTTAGATTTTTGCATGGAAACTGATAAAGGAGAGAAGCAACTTAGAACTAAGGAGAAACTTCCTGACAGATAGAACAATTAACCAATGGAACAACCTGCCTCCAGAAGTGGTGAATGCTCCAACACTGGAAGTTTTTAAGAAGAGACTGGACAGCCATTTGTCTGAAATGGTGTAGGGTTCCTGCTTGAGCAGGGGGTTGGACTAGATGACCTCCAAGGTCCATTCCAACTTTATTATTATTATTATTATTATTATTATTATTATTATTATTATTATTATTATTATTATTATTATTATTATTAGGCTTGAGAGAAAGTCTAGCAGTTTAAAATAGGAACATGTTTCAAGTAAAAAGATAGATATGCTATTTATTTACCTATTACATTTTATCTCACCTTTATACTTTATAGTTCTACACATTAATCTTGCTTTCTTTTCACATATTTATTTCATATCCAGCTTCACTTCTTTTTGAAAAGAGTCTCATTTAACAACAGTGTTGGGGATGAAATTTCCTTTGATCATAATGGAAAATTGATTACAGGACTGGAGATTGAGAACTGGGTCACCTTCCCCAACCAGTCGTTCCATCGAGTGAAAGTTGGGAAGCTGAATCCCTGGGCTGCTGAAGACAAAATGTTCACCATCCATGAGGAAGCCATCAGCTGGCCCAGCACTTTCAACCAAGTAGGTTCTGCACGTAGGTTATTTTATTTGAAATGATTGGGATAATATCCTAAAGGATATTCTATATTCTATTCTATATCCTTTAACATTAGAAATAATTTCAAATATTGGAAAGAATTCTGAGCAAGCAACGGATTCAAGCTTTCTGAACATAAGGGATGTTTAAATGATTACATAAATTAGTATAGATTATAAAATAGATTAGTATGTTATTTTTCAGCTTAAAAATCAAGAAAGTTATATAGTTTTTAAGCCTATATTATTGTAATAATGAGGGCAAATGTGATGTAGTTTTTAAGCCACAAGGCTATAGTCCTGCCTTAGGAAAGAAGCCAACTTGGTGACATTGAGCCAGTCACTTTCTCTCAGTCCTGGAAAGACCAAGTTAAAACATTTCCAAAAATATTTCAAAGAAAACTTCAGGGATTAATCTAGGCAGTTTTTTGTAGTTAAGAGTGACTAGAAAGCACACCCTCACCTGAATAACTGTAATGAACATACATGTATATAATGACAGTGTATAGTTTGTAAACATTACATTTTACTTGTAGGTTTATGCATCTAGGATTCATTATATACACAAATATATATAGGAAAAGTTTTTTTTAATTTTTAAATTTTATTTCTCCAATAAATATATATTTATTTCTCCAGTGTAATGTTAATTTCACTTATTTTATATTACTAATGAGATCTGAGAACTGCAAAAAGCTTCACATATTCAATATTTTGAAAACTGTTTCTAGAGTTATTATAAGATGTTACAATTGCAGGAGAACAGAGTTTGTATATCCATCTATACTGAATGAGAGAGGTGGTTGAACAAGTGATAAAAATAATTAGGAATTTTTTGTAGACTGCTTTTGGGAATTTGGGAGATATAATATCTCTTTTCAGCAAAAACAAAAAAACCAAAACACATTTGATAATAATAAATTGTCCATATTCTTTTTCTTAGAGATTTGAGGAATAAAAGGCAAATGAAATAAATTATGCAAAATTGATAATAATAAATTGAATACAAATATATTTGTCAGACAGAAGAAATCAGAAACCAGGGTTATTCAAAATAGTATAGTTTATTCCATGCTACCTCTAAATAAGTATCTGAACTACTAAAAGTCAAGGCAAATTGACAGTAGATAAGAGTCAATGAAATTGAAGGAGGTTTGGACTTAGATCTCTTGTGTACATGAAGGGGCTTGTTCCCTAGAATCATAAACCTTTGTTGTCAATCCATTTTCCCAAAAAAGTTCAGTCCAAATTGTTTTCCAGTTAGATACAGTAAGTCTATTCTCCAATCACCATCAATCCTATTAAGAAAGTCCAGTTTATCATTCACTGAATCTGTTAACTCCATATCCCCCCTTTCAGCCTTCTCCAATATACTTGCAATTTCCAAGTTGGTGCATATAGACATAAACAGTTCCTTTCAAGGACAGGGGACTTACATATTCTGTAACAAAATAGTCACAGAAAACATTGAGATAATATTTTTTTTTAGAAAATTTTTATTTATTTTCTAGTTTTACATTTAAATATTTGAAAAGCAACATGACGGCTGAGTTGGTCAATAATTCAATAACATACAAATATCTTTAGTACAGATCTAAGACTATTACATTAATAATTTCCTCTCTTTTCCCCTTGGTATTTACTATCTCATATTTAAATTAATACAATTCTTATTATATCGATTAAATAAAAATAACTTTCTTATATTTGTGAATAATTTTTAGTTTATACATATCCTAGTTGTTTTAATATTCAATCTTTTTAGACAATCAATGTTCTGGTTAGTTTTTCCCAATTTTTAGTTTCCCATTAATATTTAAATTTAACATTTAATATTTATAATTCCCAAGTTTTAAATAACCCCAATTCCCTTTATCACAATTCATCACAAGATCTAATGTTCAGGATACATGTCTTATCTATTTGAATTCTCACCATCTTACATCAACCAATTAATAATACAATATAATATTCTTATTTTCTGGTAATTTACAAATATATTAAATTTAGTAACCAAAATTTCTCTTATTTCAACGTTTAATACTTCCTCTCTTTTTCTCTTAATAACTACTATCTCATATTTAAGCTAGTAATTTCTATTATTTCTGCTAAATAAGAACATATTTATTACATTCATCATTAAATTTTAAGCTTATATATATCTTAATTACCTTTACATTTAACCTTTATAAGCAAATCAATGTTCAAATTTAACTGTTAATATTTATACTTCCAAGTTTTAAGTGACCAAAGTTTTCTTTATCTCCACTCATAACAATATCTAGTATTCAAAGTACACATCTTATCTATTTGAGTATATTCTATTTTAATTCTCACTAGTAAGTCAAAACCCCAATTTTCTTCAGTCTTATTCTAGCTTTCTTTCTTTGCCAAATCGTCTTCCCTGTCCATGCTTTTGAGTCAGCAAATAAATCTCCCTGTTTTGTTATGTATATTGTTTGATGTAGAAAAACCCATCTGGTCACCATTTTTTTGAGAGGATTAACAAATTGTCTCTCTATTTTTCCATCTCGACATAGTTGTCCTGAATTGTTTATCTTCTCTTCAGTCTTTTCTTCTTCTTGATCCTCAGGTTTCTTCTGATTTATGTAGAAAGTCCTTTTCATTTTCCATATTGTCAGTCCCTTTTCTGGATTTTCCATTGACTGTATTTGTTGATCAGTTGAGTCTTCTGTCATAGTATTTAATTGTTCCACTTTTTCTGTTATATTCTGTGTAGTTGATTTTTTAGTTATAATCAAAGTTTGAGTTCGTATGTCTGGGCTGACATCTTGTTCTTTTCTTTAACCTCTTATTTCATCAGTAGCTGTAAGAATAGTTTAATGAATTGCTTTCAACATAAAGAGAATCTGTTCCTGATCTTCATCCATATTCTCTTAGTAGTCTATTAGGTTAAAAGCTTTACAATCAGAAAATGCAGAAAAAAAATTGTCACTGAATATGGAACACAGCTTGGCTTTTCACAGCTGATGTCTCAAGGTTACATAGGTCTTATCTATTGTCTTAAGTCTCTTTTAAGCAATAACAAGTTGTAATATCAAGTTTAACCACAAGATGTCACCCCTACCATTTAAAGTTTTCTTTTAAGTCCAAAGTTTTTATAATCTTTGCAGTTTTGCTTCTTTTTTTATAAGTAAAAACCCAGATCTTCAGTAAGAATAGAAAATCTTTCAGTCCACAAACTTTGAAAAATAAAATTCTAGTTAAGATCAAGTTATTCTTGCAACATTTTAAACTCCCCTGGATAGTCAGTCAATGCTGTTTCTAGAGGGAGGGATAAAATCTCCCTTCCCTCTCCACAGGGGGAAAAGTATTTTAAGCAGCTTATGCAGGTAAAAAAAATAGTTAGGATTTAAGAGAGGTAGATCTCACCCAGTCTTATCCATGCTGCTTTATAATTGCCTGGTGGCTGTCTGATGAGTCATATTGCTATGTCCAGTCTTTCGTCCACCAGTTTGGAAGGCTGCCCCAGATTGAGCAGAAGAGCTACCACCCTCCTGCGATCAAATGGGGATCCCCTCCTTGCTGGTTGCCTTCCAGACGTCCATGGCAGCCAAGTCGGTGAACTGGAAGTCCCGAGATAATATTTCTTACAATAAAGAAAGATTAAAAAAGGAAAAAGGAAAATTTCCATCAAAAATTAAAAAAAATAACACCAGAGATTTTTAAAAGTTAAGAAAATGCAAAATCTCTATAGTCAAAATCTGAGGCAAATGTAAATCCAAACAAATCACTTTCACCATTAGAAAATCTCAGTCAATTTCCATAAGCAAAAAAATTCAGGACGGCAGAATAAACAGTGAAAAAAAGTTTAAAGGATTCACATTAAAAAGGAGAGGCTATAAAAGGAGGCAGTTTGGGTGGGAGAGGGAGAGAGAGAAAAAGAAGCAGAAGGAAGGTGGAGTCAGCTCTAGCTGCACTGAAGGGAAAGGAGGAGGGTGGGGAGGAGAGGAGATCAAGCAGGCCGACCATGAGCCAATCTACAACTTCTGTGGCAGCCACCTATGCTGGCAGCAACAAATAGGCAAGAAATGCAGCAGGGGAGAGTTGCCCTCCACGAGGAATGAAGAAAGATAGCATCAGCTGGAGGTGAGACATGGAGGGAGGGAGGAAGATGGAGAGTGGAAGGATTCTTATGTGCTTTTGTGACTTTGAAGTTCTGGGATTTGTGCAATGATGGCTTTGTGTTCTTAAGGAGTGTTTGGCAATTTCTATTTGGCTGATAGCTCATGTCTCATGTTAGCTTCTATTACTCTGCTTTTGTTAGCTGTAAGTTTTGCTGCAAGGGATTTTGAAGTATTTTTCTCCTGAATGGATTTTAATGTAGCATTCCTTTACTTAGGAAGGGAGCCATTTGGGGAGGCTGCCTTAGCCAACAGCCAGTACTTATTTACATTTTTTTTCTTCCTTAAGTGCCGGCTGCGCTCCTTAACATTCCTTTCTAGCTAGTAGCTAATTCTTAAAGGGGAATGTGCCTTTTTAAGCTAGTTCACTCAGCAGCTTGTCTTTTCTGTCTCTGGAGACTTTTCCTTGCTTGATGAATATATGGAAGAGAGAAAATATGGGGGGTTCAAATTCTTCCTAGAGAAGGAGGTGGGCATGAGAAAGAGGGAGGGAGGGAAGGAGGGAGGGAAGTCCCGTCTTAGCACTTGGCCACCAGCAGCCCTGCCATTGACTTTGCTTGTCAAAAAGTTGCAAAATGGGATCACATGACCCTGGGACACTGTGACCATCATACATATGAATCAGTTGCCAAGCATCCAAATATAAACCACATGACCCTGGACATGCTGCAATAGTCATAAGTGTGAAAAATGATCATAGGTCATTTCAGTACAATTGCAACTTTGAACAGATTTTTTTTCTTGGGTCATCAAGTTTTTGACACCTTGCTAGGTGATACTCAAATATTGCCATATGCTAAAAGTGGTACAGTCGGTGAAAAGGTTGAAAAGCCCTGTATC